AATATAAATCACCGTGGTGAGGCTAAAGACGGAGCTCAATTCCTGGTGGCAGTATCTGGGGGGGGGGGGGGGGGGTGTGGCTAAGGAGACATGTTTTAAGCAGAGGATGCATGAGGGGGCTTCATAGGGTGAACTCAGGGAGGATATTCCAGGTGAAAAACAAAACCAAACCAAAAAGTCAGCATGATTCTGGTGCTGGTCATGGTCATGATCATGGTCATGTTCTGGTTTTGAGGTGTGCTGTAGTCCAAAAAAACACTTGTGGCTAAGGGGCCAGTATGGATGAGTGAGAAGAACAGCCAGGAAGCTTAGGGCTGATGATGGCATTGATGCTTTGATGAGTGTTGCTTTTCTTTGAAATTGAAAAATCCCTTCTTCATAAACTTTGTGGTTTATTTATTTATTAAAACAATTGCTTTAATTTTTATTTATTTATTTTTTTGATGGGGGTGGGGGAGGGACAGAGAGAGAGGGAGTCACAGAATCTGAAGCAGGCTCCAGGCTCTGAGCTGTCAGCACAGAGGCCCAATGTGGGGCTTGAACTCATGAACCGTGAGATCATGACCTGAGCTGAAGTTGGATGCTTAACATACTGAGCCACCCAGGTACCCTGGTTTTCTTTTTTTAAATGTTTATTAATTTATTTTGAGAAAGAGAGTGTGTAAGCAGGGGAGAGGCAGAGACAGAGAGGGAGGGGAGAGGAGACAGAGAGAGAGAGAGGGAGAGAAATAGAGAGCGAGAGAGAATTCCAGGCAGGCTCTGCACTTTCAGTACAGGCCAGTCCTGAGCTCAATCCCCACAAACTAATGAGATCTGCTGGCTAAGGAGCCAAAATCAAGAGCCAGATGCTCAACTAACTGAGCCACCCAGACACCCCTAAACTTTGTGTTTTTGGTGTCTGTTTCTTTTCCTTTCCTTTCCTTTCCTTTCCTTTCCTTTCCTTTCCTTTCCTTTCCTTTCCTTTTCCTTTTCCTTTTCCTTTCCTTTCCTTTTCCTTTCTTTTTTCTTTCCTTAGACCCACTATCACCATTCCCTCTTCCTGTGGGTCTGGACAACAGTACAGGGGGAAAAAGAATTTCACAGAATGCTTGTTTTCATTTGACTTAAGTTAAAAAAAAAACACCAGTTATATGCTTTATTATAAAGCAATCTGGTTTCTGGTTCTGTAATAACCCTCCCGGGCAGTGTGGGCAGCATTGGAATGCACACAGAAATTCCTAGGGAGAACTCTGTGTCTCTCTTCCCGTTTGCTCTCCTGAAAGCTCTCTGGAGAACAGAGTCAGATTCTGTTGTCACTGCAGCTGCTGTAAGGCCCCAGTTAAAGCTGTACAGTGGTCTCTGGCGTCTTGCTGGATCCCAGCTTTGAGGCCCCAGACAAAGTGAAACCTGATAAAAGTTGTCCTTTTATGGAATATTGAATCACAAAACTGGGCCTGTGCTAGCCTGTAAAATAATTGCAGGGAGGGGTGAGAGATGGCTCAGAAAAGCCTCCTGTCTCCCACACATCGCTTTAAAAGCATTTCTTTGTGGTGGGTCCCTGCAGTTTAATCTACTGCAAATGAGATCTTAAAAATCAAGGGCCCCCATATGCTCAACACGGATGTTCAGAAATTCCACTGGATACCAACCTTGAAACCATATTACCCAGGACTAACATTTTTGTGGTCTTGGCCGAAAACCTCGAGTGCTCTGGTTTTCCCTCATGGGAAGGACGGTGCCAGCCACGTAGCAAATGCTAATTATCCCATGATCAATGTGATGTCGCACATTTAATTTGATGACCCATACATTATTCTGATTAGGAAAAAACATTTTTGTATTGACTTGGTATGTGTGATAAGCACTCTTCTCTCTACTAGGAAGCTCACTGAAATTATATTCTGGGACGGAGACCTCACTTCCATGGTCTCCCCATAGAGACAAGGAGGCTTCTGTAGGCCCCAGCCCAAAGACGAAGGAGGGGCAGAACCACCAATGCTAAGTATCTTCCTCAAAGCACATATACCTGTTATAATGAGACGAATGTTAGGAGCCCAAGTCATTTGACTTCGGATGGGTATGCAGTGTTAGCACAGCCCCACGTTCCCGCTGGCCGTCCCTCCACCCAGCACCTGTCCTTGCAGTAAAAACGGGCCTGAGCAGAAGGTGCAGTCCACACGCCATCTGCTCAGGATTTTCAATTTCACCTGCTTCGTACGTATAGCTGAAAATGTCCAACTGGACTGTCTCAGGTTTGGTTGGCAGGGGTGGGGAACTAGCCATTCCTCAATTTTTCAAGGAGGTAACACTTCTTATTTACATGCCACCAAATTACTAGTAGCCAGCCTTTACTGAGTACTCACAGTATGCCAGGGCTCGGTTCTAAGTGCTTTATACACTACAGTTCCAGGCTTCTCACAGCCTTTCTCTATGATAGGTACTATTGTTATCCCCATTGTACAGGTGGGAAAATCACACACAGAGAGGGCTAATAACTTGCGCAAGGTCTCATAGCTAGCAGGTGGCTGAGCAGGTGCATTCTGACTTAGAGCCAGCACTTTTTCCTGCAGTATCTTGCTGTCTCTCACCTGCCACTGCTTGGTAGATCTTGTGAGATGGAGCAGTGGGTAGGTAACGTCAGGCCCCCTCATTTTCCCTTTCACTTCCTCCAGGACTGGTAGTGTGGCACTTGCATAATGAACAGAAACTTCAGAGGCGACAAGCTGAGTGTGTGGATGGGAGGCTGGGTGATGGAGACTTGGGGCTCAAATATTCATATCATCATTCAATGCCAATACAGCCCACCTCCAGTGCTGTCTCTAAAGACTGTGATGGATAGAGGCTTTCAGGAGAGAACCTGTTGGCTGGGTACAGCACCGTCCTTTGGAAACTTACAAAAGCAAGTAAGTTGCTCTGGCTCTCTTCAAGGGACGGTTGTTGTGAGCAGAGGCTATGGCTTTCCCGGAGAAAGCAGACCAGTTGCCATGCTCTTGGAGCCCACCCCAACATCTGACCTGCCGTGAATTTTGGAGGAATGCCCTGGGACCCTCGGCAGTGCCGTGATGGCCACAGGTCGGAGTTAAGGAGGCAAGGGAAGAATGGTCTTTAAGAAGCCAATCACATACTCATCGATCCATCGTCTGGAGTAAGGTGATGGTCTCAAACTCATCTCGTTTCCTGAGGCTCCTTCTCTTTCCTCTCCTTTGCTCTGAGCATCAGCCCCCTCCTCTCTGGCCTCTTTGAGAACTAAACGTAGTACATGAAAAGGCCCTTGTTTGCTTCCCACAAGGCTGAGTGGTTCAGTGAGGTTTTTCCAGAGCACTCTTCCACAGCTGTGACCCAAAGTGGAGTGTCACCCAGCTATTTCCCCCAGCCTGGACGGGAGTGGGTAGGCTATGAGCTCCTTAAGAAGATGCTGGCCAACTTGGGGAGTACATCTCCTTTTAGGGAGTGTTGTGAATTAGATCCATTTCTGCACCCTGCTGTTGCAATGGAGCAGCCTGTGAAAGGGAAGATTCTCAGAGGAGCTGTGTTTTAATGTAGCAATTTGATTCAATTTTCCACTCTATAAAATTACCCATCACTGGTCGTTGCTTTCTAACAGACACCTTCACTCTTAATTTAACAATCCTATCGAATTCTGCCAGGGAAATTGGAAAAATTTATCACCTGTGAAATTTTATTTTCCTTTGGTTGTATCTGTTTTTGTAAAACTTCATTAACGACAATGACTTGCTGAGGAAATTATCATTTTTTTTTTTTTTTTAACTTCAGACACAAGAAATGGCTCGACCTCAACCAAGATATCATTTGCATAATAAAACACAACAAAAAGGCAGGGGAAGTCAGGGCTGGCAGAGGCTGAAAGTGTGAGGAGGAGAAGCAGGCCCTCCCTGGGAGGGTGGGGAGGTGGGTGAGGTCCCCAGCAGGAAGGAGCCTCGCAGCCACAGCCTTGCTCCTTGACTCAGGAAGCAATGACGTGGCTCCCCACCCCCAACCCCTGCCCCCCAGGGAAAAGGCGAATGCAGTGCTGACAGGATTGGACCCTCTTCTCAGGAAGACTTGAAATGCCAGTTGCTTACTGACCGTGCTTTTTAGCAACCAGCCCTGTCTTCAGGGGCCCGAGTGTTAGATTCACCTTAGTTCCTAAGTTCATCTGGGATCGAGGTTTAACTTGCTATAAATTTAGGCTTAACTTGAATTTCTCAGCAGAGCACTGAACTCCTGGCAAATTTCCACAGGAGCGATCTTTCTGAATGGACTTGAAGATTCAGCGTTCCTGTGGTCTAACTACCTCACAATTAAAAGGCTCAGGCTTCGGTTTTCCACAGTCTGACCCCCACTGTGCCAGCGCTGTTCAACAGCTGCTGCCGTTCCCACAAGAAGTGGCTAGGCGGAAGCAGTGATGACTATACGTTTTTTGAGATGCCAGCTATCATGCCTTTGGAAGAAAAGAAATCTGTACCTGGGCTTGCTGTAATGGTGGGCAGAGGAAACAGGTTTATGTGTAAGAGATGCGGTCTGACTTGTGGTATGTCTGAACTAGGTCCTCCTGTGTTGTGCTCCGTCAGGGTCTTCTCAGGTTACGCAGAAGGTTTGTCAGCACTGATCTATGTTCCTTCAGGCTTCTGATAACCCCTTCATCATTTTGAGACGACTTTACCTTACTCTCACATTTACACAGACAAGAAGTTGAGACTAGAGAGTTTTGATGACCCAGCTCAAGATCCAGAGCAAGCCAACGGAGGCCAACGTGAGCATTCTTGACTCTTTAACCTCGCTGCCGTGTGTGAGAGGCTACTTCACATGGCAATGGTGAAAGACACTCCCGGATCACTTCATCCTGCTCCCAGAGCTAGGGAGAGCCTCTGGACTGGGGATCATGGAGGCGCCACTGAAGCTTCCTTGTACTCTTTTCTTCAGAGATTTGGCTTCCTCGGGAGGGTTCAAACTTATATTCTTCCACCAGGTCAAGAATTTCTAAAACTAATGGAAGATAACCAGAAGATAAAATTTCTCACCTGGCAAGACTTCATAAATATCTTCTTCCTCCTCCTTTGTGGGCTCTTTTAGCCCCACACTCCCAGGCAAGATGACGGGTCTGCACTGGGAACTGGAATTCGGGGAGTCAAGGCCATCAATATCGTCATACATCTCTTCTTCTTCCTCCTTTTCCTCCTCCTCTTCATATGGAATGGTTAAGGAGCTCAGATCTGCCAGGGCAGAGATGATAATGAATCAAGACGGGGAGAAAAAGAAAAGAATAAGGCAGGGAAGGAAAGAGGGAGGGAGGAGGAGGAGGAGGAGGAGGAGGAGGAGGAGGGATGAGAATAAAATATGTCAAAGGAAAATGAAACACCAGGTTAAGTGCTGTGATTTCTAATGTGGGCCTCGGTGGCAGGAAATCTACAGAAAAGGCCAGACTAGCACCGTGTCAGGTTTAAACCGTCAACATAAATCCTTCCTTGCAATAAAACTTGATCAGGATGAAGCAGCTCTGGAAAGTAGGAGTGTGCGACTGAGCGCATGAGGCGAAGGGAAGAAAATAGGCCAGAAGAGGAAATGCCAGCGTGCTGCACACTGTTTGCCAAGTAGAAAACTGGAAGGGTGAGTGATGGCCTGTGCTTCTCCAGGGGGCACGGAGCTGTGGGGACTATGGCAGCTTCCACAGGGTAGCTGGGCTGCCAGAAGCTCATCTCCTCCATGATCTCACAAGATCGGAGTGTCAGACAAGTTTGTTTATGAAGAGGAAAAACAGGAAAAAGTGGAAGAAGAGGAGAAAGTGAGATACAGAAAAATGTAACAGTAATGCAAGACCAAATAGAATGGCTGAGCTGTGTTGGTTACCATGCCCTTTTGCAACCGCACAGTCTGGCTGACCTCAAAGTGGGTCATCGCACAGAGGATGTTGAGCCGTTGCGGCACTGGGGAGCACAGGGCAGGAGAAGGAGATTGGTTTTTTATTTTAATGGGGAACTGGGAAGGTTCGTGCTCTGATGTCTAGGACAGAATGCTCTCTGAAACCCTGCTGAGGGGCCTCTGCAGGATGGGCGAGTGCCGTCAGGGTACCCTGGGGAAGGAAAGGATGGAGAGACATCTAACGTTCATTTCAAAACACTATAAAGCTGTTTGGCTTGATTAGGCATTTAATAAAGATTTTGCAACAATTTTCATCTGAATTCTGGGGCCACCTCATTTGAGGAAGGGATCAAAGACACATTTGTGGCTTAAACCATATGTTATTATTTTGTTTGTTTTAAAATAAAATGGAATGAATAATTTCTTCAATGTGGGATTCTGAAAGTACCACAGGGTACAGCTCAATAAAGCTGCTTTGAGTTTTATTGAGGCTTACACACTTAGGGGTATATTACACGCATAAATCCAAGGCACCTAGATGAGAGTGTACCCTGTAGTCTCGCCATCAATGTTCATGTTTGCCTAGTTCCAGTCTATTATACGTGACGCTCTTGGTAGATGCAATAGTTTGTTTTTGTGATAGCAAAGGCATAAACCGAGTAAAATAGGCAATTCTTGTAATTAAAGCTCTGGTGCTTCCTTCTTTTTCTCCACAATAAAATCTCACAGCAGAATAAAAAACAGAGACAAAAAGGCTCGGTGTTTTTGGGTTGATGTGCTCCTCCTTAGGTCTTGGCGCATGTATAAAGTTGGTGTTTCTGCCTTTCTGCAGCGGCAGGGTCTTGCCATGATGGCGTATCGTGGGTTATCTGATGCCAAGCGACAGACTCAAGTCGGCTACCTCTACCTGTCAGGCCACTCCGGACTAGACTTCCAGGGCCACTGGCACCGCTGTGCCTACAGGTCGGCCAGCAGAGGGCACTCTAAGAGTGGTCATTTAACATCTTCAGGCAGGAGGACTTCCCATCCCAAAGCAAGGAACGTTTTATTGTGGTTTGGGAAAGAAAAATTTGCTTCTAATGTCCAATGGCCATGAAGGCCACTTCGATGAGAGTAGATTTCTTTTTTTTTTTTTTAATTTTTTTTTTTCAACGTTTATTTATTTTTGGGACAGAGAGAGACAGAGCATGAACGGGGGAGGGGCAGAGAGAGAGGGAGACACAGAATCGGAAACAGGCTCCAGGCTCTGAGCCATCAGCCCAGAGCCCGACGCGGGGCTCGAACTCACGGACCGCAAGATCGTGACCTGGCTGAAGTCGGACGCTTAACCGACTGCGCCACCCAGGCGCCCCGATGAGAGTAGATTTCTACTTCTTACTAAGTTTAAAACGAGAAGATTTGGGACCTAAATTGCGTCTAGGCAACTTTATGTTTGATATCACAACTTTCCTTTCCAGAATATAAGGGGTTAGAAGACACCTAATTGAGCTAAGCTGGTTTTCAAAATCTCCTTGTCTAGTGGGTACGGATATTACAGAGGTCATCTCCACGTTGATTCATACTTGAATCAACTTGAATCAACTCCACGTTGATTCATTACTTTCTGATTCATACGTGGTACTATTTGTTGTTATACCATAAGGCTGGTGGAAGGCAGAACAAGCAGATAAGAATTACAGATTGAAGGCTGTGGATTATATTTATGCAATATAACTTCAACTGCAAATCCACTTAAGTATTGTTTCTGTAGTAATGATACTTACCCTTTAACAAGAAACTTATTTGATCCACCCAGTCTCTGGCCTCAGCTGGATTAGCAGCTGTAAACTAAAGAAAAATTAGTGAATTAATTTATTACCTTCATGAATTCATAAAATTTCCATGAATCCCATAGGGAGGTTCAAAGAGGAGAGCTTTGTGAGTTAAGTTGCGGAGTCAAGTTGAAAGCTCAAGATTCTCTGCTTAACTATTTAGAAAAAAGACCAAAATCTTACTCAGAGTGATATTTCCCTTCAGCAATTCTGTATACCCAATGTGGACTACTATTTGAGTCCGGACATTCATGTTCATGTGCATTCATTCGATTATCCATGCATTCGTCAGACATTACTTTGAGAAACGTTTACAGGAAAAAAAAGAAAAAGCAAACCAAAATTCCTGACTGCAAAGAACAATGCATCAGTTAGGGAGACAATATACACACTTGAGATGGGAACACTACAAAGAATGTTCATCTGGTAACAGATAGATGCTGAGAGAGCAAAGGAGCACTTACTGTCACCTAGAGTAAGCCAGAGAAGCTTGTTGAAGTAATACTGTTTTGGTTGGATTTTACTTATTTATTTAATTTTTTTTTTTTAATGTTTATTTATTTTCGAGAGAGACAGAGAATGGATGGGGGAGGGGCAGAGAGAGAGGGAGAACACAGAATCCGAAGCAGGCTCCAGGCTCCGAGCTGTCAGCACAGAGCCTGATGTGGGGCTCAAGCTCGTGAATTGGGAGATCATGACCTGAGCACAAGTCAGACGCTCAACCGACTGAGCCACTCAGGTGCCCCTGTTTTGGTTGGATTTTAAAAGAGTTGGCAGAAACTGCCTGCTGGAGGGAACCATGTGCAGAGGATTAGGAATGAGTCCACTGTGTATGGGGGAAGGAAGGCAGATCAGTTTGACTGGAGGACAGTGACAGGTGATGCCGGAGTGCTGCGGGGTCAGGGAGGAGTTGATGAGAGGGCTCTGAGTACTAGGAGTTCAACCTAAAATGCAGGCAATAGGAAACCACCGTAAATTCTAGCAAAAGGAGCAGGAGATCTCTCTTTCAATAGTTGTGGGTAGGAGGGGTTTGAACAGGGAGGAATGGGAGACAGAAGACCAGCTAGAAGGCTATTTAACTAGTCCTCTGGGGGAGGTGATGAGGATGGCCATTGTGATGGCTGTGGGAATAAGTAAGAAGGCAAAGATCCAAAAGATATCGTAGAGGAAGAATCCACAGACCATGGTAATGACTTGGGTTCAATGGGCCAAAGAAAAGAAGTAAACAAACTCTACATTCTGATTCACAAAACCAGCCAGTCAAGCAGCAAGCCTTAGTAATTTTTTATTTTAAATGAATCAACTTGAAGTGACTGTTCCTGAAAAACATTTTTATCATCTGGCCATTAGGGTAAGACAAAGATATGTGCTGTGTAAGAAACCTAGATTCCTGCTTAATACTTATTAATAGACATTGTCATTCTTGATTTCTTAAAAACTCATTTCCATAAAAAATATCTAAGGAAATTGATTTAGACTTGTCATATAAATTTTTATCTGGAGGAGGCACCATCAATACTGAATAATAAAAATAACTTAGAAACATACCAAGTACATTCATCTATTACGTACATATCTATAAAGGATTCTCTAGCAAAGTTTAGTGTTAAGATAAAAAATTTGCGGGGGTGGGGGGCGCCTGCGTGGCTCAGTCAGTTAAGAATCAGACTTCGGCTCAGGTCATGATCTCGCGGTCTGTGAGTTGGAGCCCCGCATTGGGCTCTGTGCTGACAGCTCAGAGCCTGGAGCCTGCTTGGGATTCTGTGTCTCCCTCTCTCTCTCCCCCACTCGTGCTCTGTCTCTCTCTGTCTCTCAAAAATAAATAAACATTAAATAAATAAATAAAATTTTGACATTGCATATTGAAGACCTAGGTTGTTTTTATCAAAACGGGAGTTAAGATACTGTAGAAACATAAAACGATGGGTACTGAGAGCCATCTGAAGAGTCAAAGGCTTACTCAAGTGAGTGATATTAACCTTAATATTAACCTTAGCATAGCTTTTCTCATTTTCCATAAGTTAGCTAAAGAATGGTTTTAGTGGGGTGCCTGGGTGGCTCAGTTGGTTAAGCGGCCGACTTCAGCTCAGGTCATGATCTCGCGGTCCGTGAGTTTGAGCCCCTCATCGGGCTCTGTGCTGACCGCTCGGAGCCTGGAGCCTGCTTCGGATTCTGTGTCTCCCTCTCTCTGACCCTCCCCTGTTCATGCTCTGTCTCTCTCTGTCTCAAAAATAAAGGTTAAAAAAAATTGTTTCAGTAAAATCGTGATAAGATAAAAATTATTAACAACCAGGAAACGATATTTGTACACATACACACACATGTAAAAATATATTTTTGGTGAAACTCATGACATTCCCTTATTCAGAGCTTTTTATTCCTTTAGTTAAATCCACTACTTATTATATTACCTACTATATCATATCAAATATATAAGAATGAACGCAATGAAGAATCAGCCTTTCTCACCCCAGAGCAGGTCCTCTAGTCCCTCCAGTTATCACTGTTACTACTCACTAATCATTGTCACCAACATCGTAGAAATCCTTCCAGAGATACGCAGTGTGTCTACACACAGGAAGATTATTTTGGATAGCGAGATGAATACGGGAAAATAAGTTATTTTTCACTCTACAGTCAGATTTTTCTCTTTCTGGATGTCATGGAAGGAAGTGAAGATAATCAGGGAACGAGTGAAGAGAATGGGAATTAAAGCAGTGAAGTTAGAGATGATGAATGAGGAACTGGGTTGTGTGCTGCAACAGACAAGACTCTCACCTATGGAGTGAGACCAGGAAGGGGAGGGGTGAGGAGGTGGAAGCCAACCAAAGGCGGTATCTAGGATGAGAGTGACAACACAGAGCAGGAGGGAGGGCACCACATGGCACAGGTGAAGACATGTCAAGAAAGAAGGTCCTGGTAAGAAGTGAGCAGGTAATGAAGAAAGGATGGAACCCAGCATAGCACCCCCAGCTCGCACACAAACGTGGAGCGAAACTACAAAGCAGTGAGGACCGACCGTCTCCTCGGCTCATCCTACCTCATAGCTGCGCCTGTCCTGGGAGGTCAGTTCAAAGCAGGAGTCTTTCTTGGAATCTTTTCGCAGGTGCGGGGCCATCCGGACACTGTAGTCCTTAATGAGAAAGGTCCCTTTGGGCTGCTTGCCTGCAAGACAGGAAAACCCCCTGTGTCCCTAGAGAAGATGCGACCAAGGGAAGGCGTCCTCTCTGGTATGTAAGCTAAAAGCACAGCAACAGCTGTTCTGTCCCCGAGGAGCCACGATAGTCAAGGAAAGGTCATTAAGGAGGCTCAGGAAGGGGCTACTATGACAGTGAGGCAGAGATCACTGCCAAGCTGGGGAAATGCAACATGAAAGGTTATTTTGCCAAAAGAGGACAACGGAGATGGAGAATTTATTAGAATGTTAAGAGATCTATAACAACAGAAAGGAGGAATTATTACAGCAGGGAGAGTGTGGCTGTAAACGTGAGGCTCTTGAAGGCTATTACAGAACCCTGCAGCGTTACTGCTGTCAGGGCCAGCAGAGCTCACATTTGAGGGGAAGGGACAGCAGCTCAGGGGGCATTACGAGTTCCCGGGGTCCCCTCCTATGCCCCGTGTGGTATTTGGGCTAGACCGCTCTCTACCTCCTGCTGGTCCGGAGGGAATTCATGCGAGAGGGAGAATGATTAAAACTCAGTATTTTGTCCCCCTTCCCAGAGGTCAAATTGGGAAGTGGCATTGGGTGATGAGGAAGGAGGGAAAGGACCCTAAGGGAGGGAAAGGAGAGACCACCCTGGCTGTCACTCTCTTTCTAAAACATAAAATGCTAGGAACGGGAAAAGATGGGGTGGTTCCCAATGATTTTGTGCCCTCCTGGTGTAGTTCAGGCAGAACATACAGAGGAGTGGAACCACAGTGCCTGGGTGATGATTTGTGTCCCGTTATCATGTGGAATGAATTGCTGAATACATGCTTTTTGAGGCTGATGGTGATAAGGTGGCAGTGGGATGACAATATTAGGAAAAGAAAAGAAAAGAAAAAGACTCCATCCTTACCTGGTTGAGCTAAAGGAAATACACACAAACACTCACTACATCCTAAGAAAATGTCTTGGGCACAATAAGAAGTAACTGGCGAGAAGGGAGCCATGCAACAGTGCTTTCTGACACCGGAATCTTTTTTGTTAAAGTATCTCTCCTTGTTCTAACTGGCCACTAAAATGTTTTGTTGTTTCTTTGGTCACCAGGTTTTATTTCAGCCTGACGGCAAAATGGTCCATAAAAGTCTCCAAGTCTCTCCCTCTCCCGCTCTCTCACCTTGAGTATAGAGGATTCGGAATGAATGAACGTGACACCTGGTTTTATATCCAGATATGCCAACCACTTATTTAAATGCAGCTGGCATGAAGAAGAGTTTTACAATGATATACATGGTATATTAGTTTTAAGGTTTAAAATAAGAAAATTGCCCCTGGTGGGCTTGTATATGCCTAGAATTCAGGGAACAGATTGTGGTTGCTGGCTCGGGTGGTGGTCTGGGCGTCGGAAGGACGCCGGGGGTGTGTTACTCAGGTTTTGAGCTATGCTGCTAAGATCGCCATGTAGGGCTTCACACTTCACCCCTACGTGGGAAAGTCTCTGAGGAATATAAAAGGGCGAACCCAAGATGAAGCCAGCGATAACCTGTGGCAGGCAGAGAGGCAGCGTGAGCCGCTGGCCTTGAAGCCCAAGCACAAATCTTAAAGATGCCAGGTCACCTGGCAGAGGTGCTGTTCTTGATGCCAAAGGCACGGCAAGTCCAAAGGCAATTGGGTAGACATCTGATTATTCCCAAGACTGGATATCTAGGCATTGGGAGATGCCTCCCCCTGGGAAAGAAGGAAGAGAAGAGGAACGGGGAGTGACTGGAAGGAAAAGGAAGGGTGTACTCTGAATCACTGGCCTCTGTGCCGAGGTGGCAGAGCCCAAGGAAAGTCCCCACAAGACCTGATGCTTTGCAGGAGGGTATCCCCTCTTTGCAGGTTTGTGTTCACTGACAGTGATCATTTTTAGGCTTTGTTTAGTTGTCGCTGTCTCCGGTTTATGCTTATATCCTCTGTTTCTTCTCGTGAACTTAGTGACTGTGCTAAGCACGGATGGGAGGCCTTCTCGGGAGAGCGTATGAGTGGTGTGCTTGATTGACTCAATGGTGGCTCATTAAGAAGCTGCCTCTGGCCTGAGTCAACACTTCACTGCTGCTGCCATCTGGCTGGAGGGTGTCTCCTGGGCACAGCAGCCATTTGGGTCTCAACACTCCCCGGCTCTAGGGATGTCCACGGGACTACTTCCCAGCATTCCATAGGATGAAGTTGAAAGCATAATCTTCGAGAGTCTGGACCCAAGGGTTCTGTTTCTGGGCCATTGGCAAGCTGTTTAAATCTTTCTCACAAGTTTTCCCCCCAGTATTTTAACTATATTATTAATATCCATAAAGAGTTTGAGGTTCTTTAAAAAAAATACCAAAGTGTTCAACATTGATAATATTGTGTTATTAGTCATAATAAAAGACAACCTTTTGACATGCTGACCACACCATCCTAGTGTTTGAAGTGAAAATAATTTCTAAATTGGCATCTGAGTTTTTGGTGACGGACAAGGTATTACTTAACAGCCTCTTTCAGTCTCCCAAGCATGTCCCTTTATGGGTGTTAGTTAAGGACTGCTATCTTGAGATCTAAGTGCTTGAGAATTTACGAAGTGCTTGCATCCAGGAGTGAGCTGCTGCTGTGCAGATGAAGAACACTTACTTTTCTCGTTAGCATAGTAGTAGAAGAGGCCTCTGCTGATGACACACCATCGTTTCTGCCATTCCGATCCAAAGAAACTATGATCTAAACGGAACAGCAGTAAGGGGACATAAATTCAGGTAACTACAACCACTGAAGAGTCCGTAAAGTCCAACAACACACAGTCCAGTGTGTTATTGTTTTATTTCCTAGGTTAATGGACTGTAAAACCCTCCCTTTCACTCCCGCAGGTTATCCCATATTGACTCAGAGTCCAGAGGGCTCGCTCCGTTAAAGGTCCAGATTCTACACGGGGTTTGCCTGTTCTGACCTCTCACAGCTGTCTCGCTATTTATCTTCCTTGATATCTTTCAGGTTCTAATCTCATCCAGTGCTTTTCAAATTCTCTATGATCCCTTTATGCGGTGCCTTTTAGCAAACCAAACTGATGCTCAGGCCATGGGCACAGGAAAGGCTTTCTTTGTACTAAAGCCAATTTGCTTTTTGAGTGCTAAACTTGGGACCCTGGGCCTAGGATGGCGGTATCTATTCTCATCCAGTGAGTGATGGGTCAAGAGGTGGGTTCCTCTGAAACTTGAAACTGGGCTGCTTCACACAGGATATAAAATGATACTCTTGACAATGGTTTTGCTCTGTGGGAGCACACGGAGAGATGAGAACAAGAATATCATCGGCAATTCATTCAACAAGGATTTATTAAGCACCTGTTGTGTACCAGGTGAGCAAAGCAGAACCAGTTCCTATTCTGACGAAACTCACAATCTGCTGAAGATTTGGGGGACGCTGGACTACACCAGACTTCTCTCTTGCCTTCCTTTTGGTCTCCCAGCTCCTGAGCGCAGAATTGGGCATAGAGACAGCACTTTCTACATTAGTCCTTTTTCCTCATTTCCCTTCCCTTCCTGGACTGTTCTGAGACCTGTGGGTCTGATCAGTACCTTTGCTTTTCTTCTCCAAGTATCCCTGCTTGATGATGTTATCCAGCTCTTGAGCTCCTCTTGTGATGTCTTCCACTCCTGAAAGGAACAACGGCAAACATGCTTTGTTGAAACCTGGCAGAGTTTTCGTTTATTTAGGCAACTTTAGATAATCTACATTAATGAAGGGGGTGCAGAAGGGCAATTGCTTAAGCACAGCACAAAATAAGATAATTTTTATATGATTGGGGAAAAAGAGTAAATTTTCTTTCTCCCTCATTATATCTAATGCTAAAACCACTTACAATGATCTAAACATACATTAGTTTGTGCAAGGGGAGGTAGCCTAAATATGTACTGATTGGCAAGAAAAGGACTCCAGAGAATTAAGAATTTGCAGTGGAGATAAGCTCCAAATTGGATAACCACACTGAGATCATCAAAAGTCAAATGAATAGCTACCAGCAGAGAGACGCTTTAGTGAGTGATAGAGTTCACCATAGACGCAGCCATCTCCGTGAGAGCAATAAACACACACTCACTCTTAAAACACACACACACACACACACACACACACACACACACACACACACACCCCAAAACACAAAGCCATCTAGTGAACATAAATTTTATTAAGTTCACACAAAGAAGGGCTATGCAAGCTGAACTGACAATAGCCACCAAATCCTGGTTTTGTCCAAGTATGGGAAAGAGCCTAACAATGGTAGAAGCCTTTACCAAGAGAAGACTCTGGAATTGACATCAGCCTCTAATCGTATGCTGCTAACATCCTTGACTTTCAATTAGCCTTGTTAGGTACAAATTTATTGAGAAGTCAAGATCCTCATCCATCTTTCACCACTGAGGTTTATACTTATTTTATAGAAGAGAGGAGTAAAGGACAAAAAAAGAAGGGATTTACTCCTTAAAAAATCAAATGAAACAAGAACACAAAAAATTCTTAAAAAAATACGAGTCCATATTTCTTTTTTTTAAGTTGATTTATTTTTTTGGTAATCTCTACACCCAATGTGGGGCTCGAACTCATGGCCCCAAGATCAAGAGTTGCGTGCTCTTCCGACTGAGCCAGCCAGGTGCCCCCAAGTCCATATTTCTTAATTAGGAGAAATAAGGAGAGTGGGCTGGCAGGATCCTAATGTTTATTGTTTTTAGTCTCCAAAACCAAAGCTCCTTTGGTTTCCCTTAAAAGATTTAGAAAGCAAAACAAAATACAAACCAACTGAAGGGACAACCACATAGGAATCAACTGGGTCACCTATACAATATCTTGAGACTTTTGGGTGAAGTAATTTTTTTTTCAATTACACGATTGTTTTTTGAAATTTTCAATAACTAACATTTATTCAGTGGTGGCTATGAGCTGGCAGTTTACTTCTTGCTTAAAATATTTCTTGTTTAAAAATAACTTAAGAATTTTTTTATTTTAGAGAGAGAGAGCGAGCGAGCACGAGCATGTGTGTGAGCAGAGGAGGGGCAGAGGGAGGGAGAGAGAGAGAGAGAGAGAGAGAGACAGAGAGAGAGACAGAGAGAGAGACAGAGAATCTCCAGCAGGCTCCACACTCAATGTGGAGCCTGACGTGGGACTTGATCTCATGACCCTGGGGTTATGACCTGAGCCGACATCAAGAGTTGGACACTCAACCGACTGAGCCATCCAGGAGCCCCTAAAAATAACATTTTAAGACAATTTAAAATGCAACTAAGATTACCTTTTGCTTCTAAGTTGTTTTGAACTTAGTTTTAAACAGAGATCTGAAGGGCTTTTCTTTTTTAGTGTGTCTAAGTGCCTGATTCTTTCTATTTGTCCTTATTGTCAACTTCCTTGTTCATGGACTATTTTCATTTGTGTGCTCTATGGTTAGCAAACTCTGTGGCTGCTATAAATCCTCCCAGATGGGTCTCAGGGTGCACACGTGAGATGAAGAGCAGCAAAGGGAAGTTCATTTGTCTAGGACCCTTTCATTTCTCCCACCCTTCTGAAAATTCTAATACCTCTCTGGAAATGCTCTCCAAGAAGATAGAAACTGATCTTATGGAGGGTGGAGTGGCCGGGTTGAGGGCCTGATATGGCTGAGAAGGTCCTTTGCAGGAGAGCCTATCCTCTCTGCAGCACTATCAAAAATTGCTCCTAGAGGCTTAAAAATTAAATGAAAGACACGGGAGATGAGAAAAACAGGATCCCCTAAGCTTGGAGTTTCTATTTCTTCTTGCAGTTTTTTTTTTTCTTTTCTTTTTCTTGTTTTAAGGTCTTGTTAAACTTAGAGACACAGATTCTAGTTAGAGATGCCGAGAGTCTGAATCATAAAAGACATGTTAAACGTTCTATTAGAATTCAAACCTCCTTTTTTAATGCAAATCTAAATGCCATTTTATGGAACATCTATAATTATGAAAATGGGAAGACATTGCCTCGTGTGCGGGGAGAGTCTGTGAGTATGAATATTACATTAATGTGCCCACACCAGCTCACTGATCCTGCTGGCAGGAGCATAAAAAATGCTTGAGTGAAACTTTTATTTAGATGTTAAGACTCCAGGCCCCAGCGGGGTGACAGAGACAGTCCCTGCGAGTTGCCATCAGAAAGAGAGCTTGAATTGAATTACCCAGGGGGGAAGGAAGTAGTGATGAGCACTGCTTCGCTTATTTAATTTCATTTACTTTCAGTACATTATCAGCATGAGGCTTTTCTCTCCCCACCAACCGAAACCCAAGAATGCCACCACCAAGAAAACAAAGACATAATGCCGCAGAGACGTTTGAACCTCGAGTCACTAATTCTAGGAAACTAGGGTCAGTACCATCACCGCCTTCTCTCCGAAAAGAGTCACACTCAGTTTGCTGAAACTGGGCAAAAAGGGAGCTGCTGACTTTTCTCTCTTGGTCATTCACCAACAGATTCTGAAGAGCTAGAGATATGGTATTTTATGTGCTGGGTTTTTGCGGGACGTGTTCTGTTGCTTTCTTATTAGAGGGAATCTGTACTGAGGAACTCTCTTCCCTGGTTTCCCTTATGGGCAGTGGAAAAAATGGGATGAAGCGAAGGTGAAGTTTGAAATGGATATGGATAACAATTAGGAAATCAAATCAAAGCAATCTCTATTCTAGCGATTGTCTTCTGTGTGCAAGGGACTGTGTGGGGAGTCTAATAACAGAATTGTTCTCAGTGTAAGTTGACACTGAGCTCAATTTCATTAGCTCCATGATCTATCAGATAAATCCAGACAACCAAGATGGGAAGCCATTGTGGCAATCAAGCTGTCTCCTATTTCGGTGTCAGCTCAGTGTCCTACTGATCAAGAACCAGTGATCTTGAGGATGCACCACGTTGGCCATGGTCCCGGGGTGATGAAGTAGGAGGAGCCTTGTATGCCTGAATCCACACCTACTGGCAAATGAACAGGTCTGCAGAGCTACTTAATGCCTAATAGGAAGCATGTAAATGCTTTGTAGGATGATAATAAAAACAGGAAGAAGCCACAAATAATTGCATGGGTTGCTATTTTAAGGCCAAAACATTTATATGTAAGTATACAATTTTTAAAAATAATCGAGCCTTTTTGTCCATTACCTGAAAAAAAGATATCACCATCTTAATGAAAAAATAGAAATGATTTAGATTTATTGGGAAGAAATGGCCTTCTTGGACAAACCTAAGGGTGCATCACAGTGTATCAGCACAAAACAGAATTACATTCGTGTCATCATCTCTCTCTACCACTGCACTTAACTAAATCTCCCAGAATAGCCCATATAAAGAAAAGATTCACTTAGCTGAAGGATGTGGGGCCATAAAGATAAGATCAGCAGAGAAGGTGTTACCTAGAAGTGATGGCCACCCAACTTTCGTGGCAGATGAAGATAAAAGAAATTCTCGGACATCTTTCTCTCCTCATCCAGATTCCTTTAAACCCTTGTATCCCACCCATACCCAGGTCTGCAATAAAACACGACGGACTAGGATTCTGTCTCTCAGCACTAAACATGACTCTTCAGTCAGCTATGGACAGCAACAACAATGGGGACCCTTTGAGTGTGATACATTTCCATAAAGCAGTCAATAAAAAAGACATGGGAGCTTATGTGAGTCACGGCTTATTTAATCAGCTGCGTTCTAGCCCACTGAGAAAAGAGAATTGGAGAAATCACTTGGCAACACCACAGCACAAGGCTAACAGTACAAGAGGCCATGCAATCTCGTTGCAAAAAGGTCACAACCCCTGCAGAACTGGGCAGGTGCCTGTGAACTTCCCTTAGACGCAGCTGGCTGGTTTCTTGCTAAGCCAACCTGAAATGAAAATCGATGATTAAGAAAAAAAAAGTTTTTTATGTTTATTTATTTTTGAGAGAGAGAGACAGAGTGTGAGCGAGGGAGAGGCAGAGAGAGAGGCATCGCTGGACGGCAGGCTCCAGGTTGGAGGATCAGCACAGAGCCCGACGTAGTAAGCTTTTGAACTTCCTACCTAACCACAGGATCATGACCTAAGCTGAAGTCGGATGCTCAACCGACTGAGCCACCCAGGTGCCCCAAATCAATGATTTAAAAAAAAAACATCTTTTGTTCAACTGCCACCCCCCCCTTTAAACTGTGGACTTCTCCCATTGTCCCTTTTCCTTTTAACCCAAGTTCTTTCCAATTGTTTGGAAAAAGGGACCAAACTCCAGCCTAGAGACTGAGAGCTACCAGGGGTGAATTTCAGGCAGGGTGAAGTTTATCAGGTTCCTCCATTAAAGTACCTGTGATAAGGGCCCCAGGGGATTGGGTGGATGAGGTTGGAGAAAATCTAATATTTGGAGGTGGGGGATGAACTATGTTCCATCTGGTCATAGATAGTCTAGATGGTCTAGATGGTTCCATCTGGTCTAGATGGCCGGTGTACGTGCATTGGCAGACGGGTGACAAACACACAGTTCACAATGCCTCAGATGTACAAAGGGGAAGAGAGTATTGCAGGGGTGAGGGTAGTATTCTCCTGGTTGGTGGTCGTTGGTCCTAAATCTCCTTTGTAGTTGCTTTCTGTGGCCTTTGTAAAATAAGTTCATTACAGTTTTCCCTCAGCTTCTTGAACGTCTAGGCTGCT